GTGGGTTGTCATGCCTTGAGAACCTGGGAGAGGTTTGTCAGAGTGGCTTGTTTTGGGCTTCTAAGCTATCCTGCATTCCACAGTTTATAGTAGGCTTTGTTTGATCCACAGTGTGTTGCCAGGTTGTCTGAACCTGGACAATATGACCCATCATGGGTGAAGTCCTCTTTCAAATGAGTCACTTGGTGAGAGAGACAAGAAACCCTGGCTGGAACTTGTCAAGTGGCTGCTAAGAGAGCACTGTATAGCTAAACAAAATGGAGTGAGTGCCATTCTCCAGAGAGGTCACAAGTTGCACAAGTTCAAACAACATGATACTCAAAGGCTGAGTATGAGTTGTAACTGAACCATTGATGGTTGTTCACACATGGGTTATCATGTTGTTCAAACACAGCCAGAAGAACAAAACCTGGTGAACAACCCCAAGATCACATAGCAACAACAAAACCATTCATTCTTTCCATGGGTGGTTCATGGTTATGAAGACATAGTTCACTAGAGTGGCTAGGTTCAGACAACATGAAATCCCACATTTCAGCAACCACCCGCACTCAGCTCATTTTCAGCTTTTGAGTATCTGTTAACGTCTCATCTGAATCCAGCCACTAACTAGCTCCAGGCCAGATCGTCAGACAAGAGGATGGAAACTTATGCTTTTCACCTATTTATTGTGACTGTTCACAATATTACACCTATGGATAAAGATGTAAGTCTTCATCTAATGCGTCCAAAGTAGCTGTGAAGGCTCTGTGCATGCAAAACTGTGGTTCTATGAAAATAGACGTGAACAATAGACACAGTGGGATGCCTTTATCTATTTGGGAAGGTTCACGTAAGAGAATGGATTTTGGATCACTTCCACACAGTCAAAATACTAATACGTATCAAGTAAATTACTAGGGGCATAGCATGCCAGAACCTTGCAGACTATTGCCCGAAAGAGGGGTACGATACATAATTTAACTTCACATTGCTTTCCAAATTCATCCAATGTTAGATAACACAGCTTCTCACATATCACACATAGCATTTAGGCTTATTTCAGCTATAACTGATCTGTTTATTTCTAGATCAGTCATGGCTATATCCGGGAGGGCTACCATGACCAAGATATCCATAAAGTTTAGAGTACCTAGATTCTTTGATTTACAATTCAAGCAAAAGTTACATGGTGCAGAAGGTCACCTTGTTCAAACTGAAATTGTGGTGGCTCACATTCATTATTCCCCACCCCCAGCTAGTCTGAGTTTCTGGGACAAACACTGCTTGTTCCCTTCCAAGGTAGTAAGATGATTTTAGCAGGCTGGGCTAACCTCTAGACTGAGACAACCCTTGCTTCCTGGCCTGTAGAGTTTAAAGTCTCCATCAGCTCTGCAGTGTGGCTCGCTGGTGCCTCGTTGGTGATGAATCTCTCGCTCGTCTCCGTGGTCCTGGCTGTGCTGCCACTCCGTCTGATCCCTCAGTTTGGACTGTTAGGTGCATGGGTGGGGTTTATAACATAAAAAAGACAGAAGGGAATAAAAGAAAAACAAAAATGGGTAAGGTAGACGATTGAAAAACTACAAGACAAAGAAAAGCGTGAACAGAAAAACCAACTTAAATGCAGTGGCATAAGAAAGTGAAGAGAACAGAACTAAAATGAGGATGAGCAAAATAATGGGCTGAAACATCTGAAAAGCAAAAAAGAGAAAGAGAGGGGAAAGAATGCAAACACTGGTTATGAGGCGCATGCAATGAAGATGCATGAGTCAAACCAATAGCAAGCATACACGTTATGGAGGATATGGGGATATGCGGCTCTTTTGTCCTTACTTGTGCTGTGCAGGAAAGCCATATAGAGAGTGGCAGCTGCGGCAGTACAGACATAAGCCAAGGGCAAGCGCATTGCGAAAGGCAGCCCTTCACCGGCTGCAGCGTGTCTTTGCTGTGATCAGGCTTTTCAAGAATATAACTTCTTTCACTTAGCAAGATCTTTTGAGAGCACATTTCATTTTAATAATGCGTGTAAAAGAAAGAGGATATTGGTATGATCGGCACAACTGCTAAAGGTGCATGAAAATGATGTTTATGTTGGCATTTCCTGTTGGCAACTACTTTCTTTTAAGTTGAAGTCCTAACAGGCCAGTTAGGAAGAGCACATAGCATCTGCTGTAACAGATCAGAGTTGGGGAGGGAAGGCTTAGGGGTCTTTTGCTTCTATTAACAGCCTCTGTACTAAAGAAGCAGAGAGTTAGAAAGAAAACCTATCAGAGGTTTAACCCACACTTCAAAATCATAACAAAACAGCCACAAATAAGTTTTACACCAGTGCAGCCAGAAAGCATGAAAACAAATTAGGAATCTACCTACCTGGAAGTCTGTGATTAGCTCCTTTCCCTGGTTACCAATGGGTGAATCCCTGGATAAGGAAGTCATTGTGGACAGAAAACTGGAAGATTCTGTAAGATGAGGGAGCGGGGAAAGATCTTCCATTTGTTCTTTGAGGCCTTCTCCAATGTTGTCAACCTTCTCTAAGAAGGTTTGTAGTTCCTTCTGGAAATTTTTCATCCTTGAATTAACACTGTCCAAAAGTCCTGGTTCATTCTTGCACTCTATTTTTTCTTCATCCTTTTCAAAACTTTGCTCAGAGGAAACATTGCTGGTTATATTCACTTTTGCTTCATATATTAAACTATCTGTATCAGTGATTAGACGGTCCATAGCTCTTTCAAGCCTTTCAGCCTCATGTCTAATGTTGATCAAAGACTCCGCATCCTCTTTGGCCTTTGTTAGTTCAGTGGAACAGAGATCACTAACTTCTGATGGCTTTCCACTCCCAAAACCTGATGTCTTTTCATATGCATCTTCAGAATCGCTCTCGCCCCCAATAGGTCCCTCTCTCTTTGGTTGAGGTAGACGTCCTTCTTCATTGTCACATTCTTTCTTCCCTGCATCGCTCTCAGCGTCACTGTCCCTGGGGCTTGAAGTCCGCAGTCCTAGGTGAGAGGCAAGATCATAGCGCTGCACGTTGGACATTAATACACGATTCTCATACTGGAGTTTCATCACTTTCCCACTCAGTTCATTGATTTGCATCCGGGCTGTTTTCAGCTCTTCTTGTAAGGATCCACCACACTTGGAAGTGCTTTCATCAAGCCAGCCAGAGTCTTGCCCAGGCTCAAATTTGAATTTATTTAACTCATTTGTTAATTGTTTATTATGATCTTCAATTTCAGAGATTGATCTCCTCAACAGCTCTGCTTCTTCTTCTACAAATTGCAAATGGCGACGCAGCTCTGCAGCTGACTCTACAGAGTCACCATAAGGTGAGGTAGGAATGCTTGAAACATGGTCCTGGCTAATACAGACCCTTTCATACTGGCACCTCATATCTTCCATTTCAGCCTTAATACCTCTGTTTTCCACCTCTAGTTCTACTAACTTCCTGCCCAGTATGTTAGCTTCCTCTTCTACTAGCTTCAAGCGAAGCTTCAGTTCAGCTTCTCTGGTGCTGGGTGGCCCTCCAGCCTCTCCAATGGGAAGAGGGCTTTCCACATCTCCATAGATGGATTTGTACTTCTGGAGTTCTTGTTCAAGTTCATCTTTCTCTCTGCCTAGCTTGGCCATCTTCTTACGCATCAGTGCTGCTTCCTCTTTGGCAAACTGAAGCTGGCACTTCAAGTCAGCACTATCTTCCTGTCAATCAAAAAAAGCCCCAAATAAAGATTAAAAGGTTTCAATCAATGCAATGCTGGTTAGTTGTTGTTAAAATTAATCACATATCAGTTCTTGGAAAAATAATAATTACAAAGTGCAAATGTTTCAAAAATTGCACCATTTTGGGTGAAAGTTAGGAAGATCATTTAATTTAGAAAGCGAGGGCTCTGTTTTTACATTCATCTACTTCAGAATGCATGTATTTATAATTTTATAAAATCTTCCACCAAAACCAGCCACAACAAGGCACACCCTTGATGAGCAACACTGTAATTAAGTGCACACTTCCATGAGCTATCGTGCATACTTAACAATGACTGTTTTCCACAATTAGAAAATTGGAATCAGAAAACACTGTCTGATATTTTATAAATAAAAGGTAGAATGAAAGTAAAGGACTTCTTGGCTTCATAGAGGACACAACAGAATCATGGAGTTACTTCTGATTCAGAACAGATGTTTATATCCCTGGAGTTGATATTAACTACAAAATCAGGTATCAAGTATGTATCTTAGAGAAAGCCCTAAAGGTGTTTTCTTCTTCAAAAACCTTTACCTTATTAGCAATTCTAATTCACTGAAAATTCTAGTGGGGATTTCCCCATTGGCTTTAAATTGACAAACATTTTCCTAATATTTACTCTGAGTTATTGGTTATCTTTCACTGAACTTGGTGACATCTAAATTCGGGCATTTTTGTCAAGATAAGACTATTTGAAAAGCAGAATTACAGACTCTTGGAGGCATATACATTCAGCCAGAATTGCTATGGAGAAGCTTTGAAGACTGATAAGTACTTTGGAGATTTCATTATGTAAACAGTGTTCTGCAATATTTATTCATTGTATGTAGATTTTGTCACCTCTATGGCGAAAAAAGAGAAGAAAGGATTTTCTCCAGAATCAAGGGGTGGAGGAGAAGATGATATTAAGGGGGGAGGTGGGGGGAGAAAGAAGAAGAAAAGAGACAAATACATATATACAGAATAATTATCCTAAATATATGAAGCCAAGCAGTTACATTGCCTGGGTTCACATGACATGGCAAACCACCATGGGAACTGGCTATGGTGGATTGTCATACTCTGTGAATCCAGCCCACTCCTGCAGGGTGGCTTGTTTGTGAGCAAAGAGCCACCCTAGCAACCCAAGGCTTGTTCGAAGGGTTGTTGTAGCCACGATGGGTTACCATGTTGTCTGAATTCAGGTGACTGATCTCTTTATAAACACAAGGAGATGGTTAGTGAAACATTTGGCAAGAATGGCAAAATCCTCTTGGCACTTTTGCCGAGCTTGCCAGTGACAGTCACTCCATCAAGCGTCCAAGAGGCATGTTAGACGAACCAACACTGGCTCAGACCCTCCTGCACCAACTACATTAACCTTTGATCCTACTGGCATTTCTTTTCTATTTCCTCTACTTTTTTTTTTTAAAAAAAGGATATTGCTTTTTGTGATGTCCAAAGTTACAGCCAATGGCAGGCCCTTCAAAGTGTCCAAGCAGTATATTGAACTAGCTGTCAAAGGTTCACCACCCATTTTTAAAAACTGCACCCAAGATTTACATAAATGTTTACATTATTATTTTTTTGAGGGGGTGCACAACATCAACAACTCTCAAGTGCAGGGCCTTGACAAAAAGCCCCTCATACAGAAAGAAATACCTAACAAAATGCAAAACCCAGCAATGCTAAAGTCAAATCAGTCAAATATATAAATAATAACGTAATATTATGCAATTGAAAAGGCAGCTCTAGGATTGTAAAAGGTGTCCAGAAAAGATTACACTGTTTGAATATCAATAATTACACTAGTGTAGGTTGCATGAGGAGAATCAGCAGAAGCAGGAGCTTTCTCCTATTGGATCGGCAAGGGGCGGCATAGAAATGTTTTAATAAATAAATAAATAAATAAATAATCAGCCAATCCATGCTAGGGCAAAGCACGATGGTGGCTGTCCAGGAAACCACGCTTTCTTCCTCCTACAATTCCAACTGCAGTAACAGAACCCTTCTCATATCAAGAGAGCAGAGTCCATTTTGGCATCATTGATTTCTCAGAAATGTTGTTTTATTTTAAACTTAGGCACCCATACTTTTTGTATTATTTCTACAGAGCATTTCTTAGAATGCAGGACTCTTTCTATTTAAATGTATGTGTACCTTCTTTACCACATCTATGAATGGTTGCATTATGTCTTCTAAGCTTAGAATTGAAATCTGTTTGTTTCTTGTTTCCTGTGTTCCCTTCCTCATTTAAAAAAATCAGAGAAAAAATATTCTTTTGCTTATTAAATATAAACCAGCTCTTAAAAGACCTATGCCATGTTTTCCTAATACAATATCTCAGATTTAAAAGCCAATAAAATATTTGTATTAAAACTCCTGTTATTCTGGAATGACCCTACCTTAACCTGCATTAAAACAATCAAGAGCATTACTCTGAGACTACCAACTGCTGTGAATGGATTGTCTGGCAAAGCATTCAGCTGGCCAATTACTGGAAGAAGCCTTTAGAAAAATAATGGCCTACATTTGACCAATTGGTCAACTAAACAATTAGCATCAAAAAGAGAAGGCATGTGATTGTGGATAGTGATGCTGTCTATGGACAGGGCAGCTGTGAGCTTCCATCTTCACTGATGGAACTCCAGTTTCACTTTTCCAATTTCACCACATGCTGCAGCAACATGGCTCCCCATGCTTCTCCCAGCAATGTCTGCTTTGTTAGAGTGTATTGGTAGTGTGATATATGCACAAATATTTCCTTAAACATATATCTTGAAGTTGAAGATTTTAATGGGAGGAGGGAGAACCTAGCAGCTCCAGGTGACATAGAAACAAGCCTGAAACCAAGGCATAATTCAGGTATGTGTGGTAAGAGAAACATAGTTATAAACACATACTAATCCAAGAAAGATGTACTAAAAGTATATGGTTAAAAGATCATTCAGGTTCCATATAAATGTAAAAGATGGTACTTTAATGGTGCACTCTTACACACGTTTACTCAGGAAACTTCAAGACAGCTATGCATAGAATTACTGCCTAAGGAAAAACAAACTTCTTGGTGCTGTACTCAGAAAAACAATTCTTACCATCCCACCTCACTGCCTTGCCATAAACACATCAAAAGATGCCTCGGTGTCTGGTGGTGAAGACCAGATGACCCCACTCCATTAGTGGGTAACTGTCGAAGTGTAATCTCTGTGTTTTATAGGCTTGCTAAGGTGCCTCCCTAACCCTGTAAGTTACCCTAACATGTAACTTTTTTGTTTACTTAACTTGGCCAGCCTCTTCAAGGTAACTTTAAGTTTAGAAGGCCTGTCAAAGGCATCTAATTAGAGTGAAATGTAACTTTTCTTTATGGTGCTGTGACATGTATCCACTCACTTTCCTATCCATATCAAAGTATCCAATCACCTTCCTTTGTATTGTATTAACTCCTCTTTTGTGTATTCTATATAACCCTAAGGAAATTAACATGGGGTGGATCCATGAATTCAATTGTAAATAAACCTATTTGCCCTGACAAGAAACTGATTTCAGAGTCTCTGGATTGTGGATCTGGTGTGACAGCAAAAAAAGACATATTGTGACAGAAGTAGAGGAGACTAATACGTGTGTGAGAGAGAAAGAGTGAGTGAGAAAGAGATCAAAAGAAATATATAGCAATATTAATTAACAAGATCAAAGCATGCATTGTATTTCAATTAGAGCAACTGCAGCTGACATTTGACAGATTAAACCTTGGTAGATTTAATTTGCTATTATACATACATACATACATTTTTTTCCTGATCCCATGCTCCAAAACTTCAATATTATGAACACAAATAAACATAACATTCATTACCAAATGGCATGCTAATTAAGCACTGAGAGACCAGCTCTGGTAGCAAGACAAGGCTATTAAATGCTGAGCAGCAGAAAAATAACAGACTAATGACATAAAATATGCAAATGAAAATGCCATGCATTCACGTCAGAATTCAAAGTGAGCTCACTTGATACCAAATAATGTGAAACAGGACTTAAAATGACATATTGCATGCCTTCACCTGTTCTTAATCTACTAGGCAGCCTGATTGATCTGGAACTGAGGCTCCCGGTGGCTATGAAAGCCACTTCCTGATTCTCTTCTTTATTGTGTTGGTCTGAATTATAGGACCATTCAGGCATGCCTGCATACAATGCACGTGTGAATAGGGGAACAGAATAATACCCACTAGCTCTACCCTCCCAGTTACCAAACTTTGACTGGTTCATCCTTAAAAAAATCTACGCATACACAGATTCACACATATAGGCTATGCCTACACCTTCTGCATCTTTCATTCTATAAAAAATGTTCTATAAAAAGAAATTGATTGGCTGTTCATAATCTTGTAATCTGGAGAAGTTGCAGAAATGGTTGGAGGGGAGAAAACCGAGAATATGAATCAATTGGAGTGGCAGCACAAAAGCTGTGATGAAAAGTGAGAGTTTAATAACATTCCAACACAGAGGTGTATCTATACCTCTGACCAGCGGGAAGACACAAAGAGCAAGGGTGAAGGGTCAAATCTCCCATCAGCACCTCCTCAATGGTCTCAGGCGGGCAGAATGTAGCTATGCGCTTACTGCATTGCAAGCCAGATGAAATGGTCTGGTCTGGTCTGGTACCAGCATGCCTACCTTGCGCTGAAGGAACAGCTTTCTTTGTGTTCTGACTGCTGCCTGGCATTTCCCAAGAAGCTCCATTCTGCAGCTCTGCTGAACAGAAACTTTTTTTTCAATAAAACTAAATGGAAAAGCCTTCGCTGACCCTCTCTTTGCTTTCATGGTATTGAAACCATGGGGCTTTTAAAATAAGTGATTCCAATATTCATAATCCTAAAATATAAGTTTTTGGGTACTGTAATATATTGAGGGAGAACTTTATAAACTCAGGTCCAGTCAACATGAGATGTAATACATTTGCTCAAGTATCTGTTTATAC